TCCTCCTGCCAGCGCGGGCGCTGGGGTGGACCCTCCCCAGAGCTCCGCTGCAACCCGCGGCCCCAGACCCCCGACGTCGTGATTGTTGCACAGCGCCGGCCCCCAGAGGCCTGGACCCCTTCCCCAGGACCAGCTCTCCGTCCCGAATCGTTTCTTGACGGCCCCGGGGCCCGGGGAGGGCCCCCAGAGGCCAAACCTGGGGGGACCACAGCTCCCGTCGTGATTTTTCCAAGACTCGAGGCGGCCTGGGGCTCTCGGCCGCCGCCCAGGCCCAGGGGCGGCCGGCGCAGGCGGCACCAGCCCGCGGACCAGGGGCACGCGGAGGGGGGGGCAGCGGCCAGCGAGCACCCCCGGCAGGCCTCTCGCGGCCCCCTGGGCGCACCCGGCGCCCCACGGTCGCAGGCCCAAGGTCTGGGCGCGAGCGAAGCGCCGCGTCGAGTTGGCGGCTCCGAGCCTGCGTGGGAGTTCTCGAGGGGCCGGCTGGAGCCCGGCGGGCGGCAGCAAATTGGGCTGCGCGCTCCGCGAGCTCGCCGAGGAGTCGGGGGGCGATCCATTGGGGGGGGGGGCTCCTTGAGGGGCCCCAGAAAGGGCTCCTTCTGTGCGGCCCTCGCTGCCCCGTCACGTCGCGCCACCCCATGAATTCGGGCCCAAGCCCTCCTCTGGTCCCCCCTCTGGGCCCGCGGAGCCCTTCAGCCGTCTCGCCTGCGCGGCCATCCCCGAACTCGCACACCACGACACGGCATGCGTCGCTGAGCACAATGTCCAGCTGAGCTTCGTGCAAACCGCCATGTGGCGGGAGGGACTTTCTCGAGCACCACCAGGTGAAGCAGGCCGATCCCTTTCATTGCCCAAGCCAACCCCTCACCAACTTTCTCGAGCGCGCATACGAATACAAAACTAAGACGGCCAAGACAATTCCAGCGACCGGCTTCCCCAGCGGTTGCGATCTGGCTACCGCCTTCCCGCCGCCGGACCTCTTGCGCGAGTTCCTCCACGTGGCCTCCCAGCTTGGGTCGCTCGTATACCCCACTCCTTCGATCCCAAGCTCGACCCTCTTGAGCTGGTGGCCGCGGCCGTGGACGTCTTCGAGATCTCGACTCTCACCGGCTCGACGACTGGCGGAGTCTCACACTCACGCGGCAGCGCGAGCTCGTCCAGCAGCTCGTCAGAGCACGGCCCAGGGACGGCCGCCATGAGCTCCTCCCTGTGGGGTGGCTGTGCCATCCCCGGCGGGGCCTCGGCGCCGCCCGCCCCGAGCACGAGGGGGGCCGCGTACGGCCCCACAGCCGGGGTGCGACGGGTGCTCTGGGAGGACGTTGGGCGCGAATGCGTGGGGGGCGACATATGAGGGGAGGGGGGCGATGCATGGGGCGACAGATCGGGAACTCATGGGGGGGGGGGGGCGATACATGGGAGGGGAAGAAGAGGTACCCTTTTCGGGCCCTGAAGGCTCTCCCTTCTGGGCCCCGGCCTGAAGGGCTCCTCTAGGGGCCCTGAGGGGCCCTTTTTTCTGCAGCCCGCGCCGCCGTCCCCCCCATTCCCAGAGATCCGATGTCGTGATTGTTTAAGGGTCCCAGGAAGTCTCGACTCATTCATTCCCCAGGACCAATTTTTTATCCTCCTCTGGGAGCGCCACGCCCCCGGCCACCACGGGGCGCGACGCGGTCTCTTGCAGTTGCTCGGAGCGGGTTTCTTGCACAGTCTGCATCAGCCGGCGGCGGGCCCGGTCCTGGCCTAGCCACAGCCGTGCCCCGCCGATGCCGCCGCCGCCGCCGCCTCCCCCTCCCCAGGCCCCCCCGAGTCATGACAAAGATCACGACGTTTTTGTTTTTTTTTGTTCCTTTTCTTGTTGTGTAAAACAATTTTTTTCGACCTCTGGGGGCCCCTACCGGGCCTCGGGACCGTAAAGAGACGACTCAGGATGAAAAACCGGTCCCGGGGAATGGGTCCAAACCTCTGGGGGTCGACGTTATAGGAAGAGATCACGACCTCGGGGGTCTGGGAGCGGCGGGTGCGGTCGTGGCCTGGCCACAGCCGTGCCCCGCCGATGCCGGCGCCGCCGCCGCCGCCTCCCCCTCCAGCCTTCCCCCGCCCGCCGCAAGCCCCAAGGCTCTCCCTTGAGCAGGAACCGACCGTCCCGGCGCTCCTATAGACCTGCCACGACATGTTCTTGGAACGCATGAACACAAGGCGCTCTAAGAAGAAAGGCGAGGCTCTTAGAACAGAAGCCCGACATACTATAACAGCACTGTCTCAGTCAACACTGTTCAAACAATATCTGAGGGGCAACGATAGGAGGGGATAGGCATAGGGGGGGATGTATCGACCTGGAATCCGCGATACATCGCCGATAGATCGGCGATAGGCTCCCGATCGTGAATCCGCAGCTTCCTGGGCGGGGTGGGGCTGTCGGGTCCCTATCGGCGACCAATGTGTGATTGGGGATCGATGCCCCCCCCCCCCCCCCCTTCCCCTATCCCCCCACTATCGCTGCCCCTGA